TTCAATGCTTTTCTAAATAAGAAAGTTGGAACTGCGCATGCGCAAACCTAAATTTTGAAACTAATGTAAGATTTTCCTTTGTTCCAAGCGCCTAAGTATCAAATTTCACTTAAATGCTTCCATAGATAAAAAAGTTGGCACTGCGCATGCGCAAAATAAAATTTTGAAACTGTCGCTAGATTTTCCTTTATTCCAAGCACCTATGTATCACATTTCATTTAAATACTTTTATAATTAAAAAAGTTTGCAATTCGGTTTATAAATGGTCGAGATGCGAAAAGGGCACGGTGAATTTTGAATCGATTCGACTCAACTTTTGGCATTGCGTATTATATGGCTAAAGCTATGCCCATATTGAATTTCATGCAATTCAGTTAATAACTAACGGAGATGTAAAAGCGATCGGACATTTCTAAACAAAGTTATCGTTTACACGGACAGATACACGGACAGACAGACAAAGAAACAGACGGACAGACCAACAGACAGACGACAGACAGCAATACAAAATTATAAACGATCTCTAGGATCGTTAATAAACGGCAAAAGTGTAAAATTATGGACCATGTAAAAAACGGTTTTTTGTTTTTTTTTTACAATAACTTTTTTTGTAAGCGGTACAGAAAAAATTCCTTCCTTGTTGCAAAACTCGACACCATAACGAACCAAATAGCGAAAAAAGTAGAACAATAGCTCTTAAGATAAAGAACTAGTAGCGTCGCAAAACGAGAGGGCGGACGGACGGACGGACAAAGTGGCCACAATAGCGCATTTTTTTTAAATTTTTGTGGAAATGCGCTAAAAAGAAATGCAACGTTTTAATTAAGGATTATTAGGAAGATCTGGAGGATCGTTCGATAGGTTTTCAGTTGTATCGGATTTTTGGGTTACAAAGTTGATCATAAGTTCACATGGAAATATCATCGCTACACTTTAATTGTAAAACTATTAGTAATATATGTTACCAAATACACAATTCTGCCATTTGTGGTAGAGTAGGTATTAAAAGACCGATAGAATGGGGTTAAGTGGTAGAACAGTCAGTGTGGTGTCCTCTTGGGTGATACAAATGTAATGATTATTGTTCGCACAACATAAAGTGCTTCATACGAATCAAGTAGTATCTTTTTTAATATATTTGACAGGGCGCCAGAGAGCATAATGAGTTCACAGTCCATTATGCCCTTTCATTACGCCCCAGGACATAATTGACTGCTTTACATAACTCATATGAATTAAAAATAAATACATTTAATTAATACACATTTAATATTTCATATTGACAGAGGTCAGCCAATCAAACTTTTTTCAGCCATTTGTCATGGAGACAAATACCAATAATAAACACTCACGCAAGAGGTAATAATTCAAGGTAAATTCAAGACAAAATTATCTGGTCTGAATATGCGAAAAATGGAAATCCACTATTCGATTATTCAATTCTAAAAGAAGTTTGTGAATACGAAGATATATTGAATGAATTTTTGGACCAATTAAATGCCTATAATAAGGACCCGGATATAACATGAATACAGAGAGAAAGAATGAAATTGCTAGTCACCCTTTTCGTACAGTTTTTAGGCACGAGGTAACAAAATAATCTTGAGTTGCTCGATTTCAACACATTTCATTTTGCGAAGGTATTTGGTTCACTCGTATCAAATTAATTCAAACTGAGTAAACTCTGTGACAATTATTATTAAATCTAATAAAAAGGCAAGTGCGGTTTTTGTTAAGAACGAAATTATCAACGGACTTCTAAACACCTGTTTAAAATGCCGACGCCGCCGACGCAATAGACTACATATGTGTTTCCAATTTTAGACTTGGATAGATAAGATGATTGTAATTGTCGTGTATAAATTTTTGATTTGGAAAATAATTGATTGAAACTAGCGGCAGTTACATGCGTGGAGGTAAATTTCCATACACAAAATTAGTCACACTAAATCATTTTGCATTGTATTGTTTAAATGAAAAAGTCCAAATTACTTACAGCAATATACGCGGTACCTAATCTGCGCTTGTCAAAATTCACCCTTAGCTTTCTTGCTTTCGATACTGGGCACTCTCCATCGAACCTTTTGCAATTTTTGGAGACCATTCCGCACAATATGCACTGCACTTCGCGTTAACACGATCGAATTATTTGATCATAAGTTATATTTTAGATGGAGGGGCGGTAACGTAAGTAGGTAGAGATAAATCACCTGATGCGCTTATCTGCACGTGCGGTCACTTTTACCTTTCAATAATTGTTTTGCCGTACCGAATGAAGTCGTTCCTGATAAAATATGAACTACAATTTTTTAACCCATGTGATTGTGTTCTAAATTCATTTTCGTCCTCACCTTGAAAAAGTCAAAATCTGACTTTCCAATAGGGAATATGCATATGGTTTAAATTTACTTGATTCTTTCTCCAGCGAATATTTATTGTTGGTTTTGGTTTTTAATTGCTAAAAATGTTAATTCAAAAGTGCAAAATAAGCGAATGAAATTCAAATTTGCGAAACGCTTCACTATTGGACGAATGGAAGTGACGTCAAATGCCACGCGATCGCATTTGTTGTGTCAATATTCATAAGTACTTAGTGCAGTCAAATTACAGTTTGGGCGATATTGGGCCGCTAATGCCAGCCGCTTCGAGGAAAACGGCACCTTTAAGAATCCGAAGTCGTGAACTGGGATTTGGACGTATTTTTTTAAATGTAGGTCTTTCCGAGAGCTTTCCAATCCCCTATTATAGATTTACATGTCTTGTATTTTGGAAATCAACGGCACAATTGTTGAAAAAGGTTGTTTTAGGATTCACTAACTGTAAAAAAATTGAGAAAATGAGAACGCTCTGGGAGTCGTCCATTTGGAACTGCAAAATACACTTTATCGGGAATATTTCTAATAGTGTTTTTGCACTTAAAATATGTACAAGGCAATACCTATGAAATGTTTTTTTTAGCTTTTTCCATGGTCTGAATAGCTATTACAATTGAAAATCTGTTTAAATAAATCAACAGTAAAAGTAAACAAATATTGGTCGTGGCTTGTGACATCATTCAAGGCCCGCTGAAAATGTGGCGGCGTTTAAACACACCGAATAAAGTCAACGTTTTGAATATTATTTTACAAGTTAAATTGAATTGTTGTACCAGTGTTTACACTTTTTACTATGTTAGAACGATGTAAAAAAGCGATTAAAAAATTAAAAAAATTACATGCATATTCCCTAGCTTTCTTTGGCTCTTTCAAAAATAAACTAGCTTCTAATTGCCTTGCTCAATATTCCCACGCAATATTTGAAATATAACAATCGCAAATATTGTTATTAATTTATAATACCTGTGAGAAGGTGCTCGACGAAGCGTAGGTTTTTCTATATGAAAGCGGTGGTATGAGTAAAGTATTGGAATGGAGTGTAAAAAGCAAGTATGGGGAAGAACTTAAGAAGATTTCGAAAGAATTTCTGAGGATTTATAAGGAATTTTATCCGATTTCAGGGATTTCCGTGGATCTCCAGGAATTGGCGGGGAGCTTAAGGGATTTCTTTGATCGAAATATTTTCTATTGGAGCGATTTTGTTTGTTCATCTTTTGATCGACGCAGAATTGTTTTGTTTAATTTACTAAAGAAGTGTTATTCATAAAATATGAACCGTTTTCGAAATTAAGCGAAAAACATTTTGAGGTTTTTTGGCTGCCAAAAGTTGTGCCGGGAAAAAATTGGTGTGCACTCTTCAAATACAAGTTATTTGGACCCAAAGGGACCATTTAAAACGATAAAATCTTTTACGCCACTGCTCCGCATAGTGAACTACAATGTTATTGATTAAAACTTACCAGAAATGGTTTTTTTTTTGCATTTGAACTTCTCTACAGGTTTAATAAAGGCAGATGAATCAAGTAAGATTGACGAATAAACATTGCATTCGGTTGTTCTATTTCAGACAACTCCAAAATTTAAATTATTTCAGCTGGTCAGCTGGGTATCGAGAGTAAAACTGAAGAAAGTAGTTTGCATTAAATGGTCAAGATTTTCTTCAGAAAAAGGGTTACAAACAACGAATGAACGGTAAGGCGATAATTAGGTTTATACATACAGTGAATAAACTTTTAAATTTCATCCAATTTCCTTTTTATCGGCCAATAACTGGATGGCTGAATACTTTTGGGCGGTAGTGTAATGTCTGGAATTTAATACTCCACCAGGATATGCAAAGTAAGAAAACTGCAATATTTTTACCTTCTACAAATCTGGATCTCTTGGGATGAAGCAGGTTACTTCCAAGTACAAGATTTCACCCCAGTCCATTACACAGTAGAAAAACACGCACCCACGCCCACAGATTTAGAAGTTAACTAAATATGTTTTAGGTAATACAAATTGACCGTTGTGAGTGGTATCGTATAGATAACAATATTTCGTTAATATCTGCGCAGTCGTTGCTCAATTGTATTAGAACACCTGATTAATCATTTGCCACGGTTGAAAGATTATACATTTTTTGATTACAAATTTTCATGTAATCGTAGAGAAACTTTTAAAGTGTCTCATGAAAAGGGCCACACCAGAGAGCTTTAATATCTTCTTTTTTGGAAAATTAGTAAACCTATTTGTTATAATTAAAGCCATAAGTTTGGCGCATGTATAACGTTATAGTTCCTGTAATCTTATTATTTCGTTTGTACCTATAATACTCTTAGCGAAAACGATGGAAATATGTAGCTTTTCGCTTGGCTACACAAGGGTAGTAATTTCCCTCTTCACATTCGAAATAAACATTGATAGAAACTATCCAAATTGCCGCCGCTGTTGGTAATAAAACCCTGCTTAGAATAATTTTCCTTTAAGATAAAGCTCGGTGATTTATGAGCTCTCTATAGACTTGAAAATTATGCTATTCTAATAAACTTCGCTAATCTGATATTATATTGCAAAATAATTAGTAAATATGCACTATACCTCCGATATTCAGGGTTATTTTCGCGTGTACAGAGACAGTAATTAGGTTTCTATAAGCAGATTTTGATTGTCTGGGCCGATTAATGAGAGAGGAGTGTAGGCCCTATTTCCGTAGTCGCAACCGTAATGGGCTCTTTTAAATTGGTCACGCAAGAAATTAACTAAGGAAAGCTTACCTTTAATGAAGTCAACAGCCATTTCGAGACCGTAAGTGTCTTTATCGCAGTCATCTAAGATGTGCGCCCCTAAGGTAATATTAGGGAGAAGCGAGGTCGGAGCTTCATTTAGACGATCTAATGTATAGAGCATCGCTTCGAGCGCCTGAATGCCTCCTTGAGGCATAATAGGCCCACAAGTAACGGTATCCTCACGTTCGTGCACCATCATTAAACCACCCAACACCAAATCACCTTCCACTACCGCCTCCTTCTTTACAGGCCACGGAAACTCCGACGACATTTTTATCGCATTATCATTACTATTTAAATCGACCGTTTCGCCGTCGAAAGATTCGGTAGTCACAATCACTTTATCGTTACCTTCTAATGTGGTCGCGGTGGAAAGTTCGCCGTAGTCACCGTAACCCGCGGGATCCTCGGGATTTTCATCGTCCAACCGTTCACTTTTGCCGTTGTAAATTTCTCTAGATGTGGATGTTGAAATACTCGATGCGAAGTTTAACTTCGGATTCGTTTCTGTTAAAATAGCCGGAAATGTCGACGTTTCCGCTGTTTCTTGTGTTGATTTCGATATTTTGGGACCGGGAGTGATCTCACTATCTTTACCCACAACGACGTCGATTGGGAGAGTTTGGCTTTCAGTTGTGACCGAAAGTGACGTGGTACCCACCTGAAACAGTATTTCGGTTCAATACCACTACACTCAGAGCTGGGCAGAATACTTTCAAAAAGTATTTGAATACTAGGTAAATAGTAAATACTTTACACAAATCAAAGGTATTTGAATACTAAATACTTTTACGTCCAGCACAAGCGAATACTAGATACAGATACATTGAAAAGTATTCAAATACTTTAAAAAATAAGTATTCAAATACTTTAGAATGTATTGGAATACTTTCAAAAGTATTCTAATACTATCAAAGGTATTCGAATACTATACTTGAAAAGTATTTCATTACCTTACTTTGAAAAGTATTCGAATACAGTAAAAAGTATTCAAATACTTGTCACTCAAATACATTAAAAATTTAAAATAGTATACTATACTGTATTCATTTTAAGAAGGTAGCGGTAGAAAGCATAGGGAAGCTTTGACCTTCAATATGATTGGTTAAAACACAAGTCAGTATTACGCTGAAACATAAAACGAGTGGCGAATTTTGCAAGCTGGTAGTTTCTGTTGCCATCTAAACTGTTGGAAGTGTCATTAACTGTTAATGTCAAAGATTTATTTCTGCTTGCAGTGCTGGATATTTCTGCTTTACAATAATTTGGTGCCGTTTTATATTTTTCCCGTGTGTGTTTATCTTCAAACACAGCGCCATCTACTACCTTCTTATAATGAATGCAGTATAGATAAAAGTTTTAATACTACTTAAAAAATCAAGTTATACTTTGTATGGGGTTAGTTTTTTTTATATTTCTATTGTTATATACAAATTTAAGGGGAGTAAAAGCGTAATATTATTATTATATTATTATATAGGAGGTACCTACCAGGACCTTTCTTATACCAGTTATATCCTTAAGAATACGTGTACCAGTTTTCAAAGCGTCGTGCACATGATACGTACGCCTTTCTGAAATTAATCCTAGCGATTTTGGAACAGATCCATTTTTGACCATCCGTTTGTCCGTGTGCATGATAACTTGTTTAGAAACGTGCGATCGCTTTGAAAATTGGTACACATGGTCTTAAGGATACATATAAGAAAGGTCCCTATTGTTTTAAGTTGCGTAGACTATCGAGTCAAAAAGTTTCACTCCAGGATCGTTCGGTATTCAGTTGTATCGGATTTTTATATTTGATTTTGTGACATTTCTAACATTTCTAAATTGTTCTCAAATTTTTGAATAACTTAAAAGTACTGCCTTTTTTTGAGGCCGGAAAAAAAAATTGTCTGAGATCGACCGGGAAAACATTTTCTTATAGAATTTGGCCCGTAGAATCCATAATTTCAAACAGTTTGAAGATTGGGCTACTAGATCAAAAGTTACAGCCCTTTGAATTTTTTTTCGAAATTGGTTTCTAGTCTATAACTTTTGATTGAGAAGTCTGATTGAAAAAGTCGAATTGTTTTGAGCCCCGATTCTACGCACCAAAATTAATAAGAAAAAGTGTTTTCCCGAGAAATTTTGGTGCAGTCGATTTTTGGTAAAAAAGGAAGGTTAAGTATTCAAATACTATGCGAAGTATTCGAATACTTCTCAAAGTATTCAAATACCTTGCGAAGTATTCGAATACTTTACGAAGTATCCAAATACTTTGCGAAGTATTCGAATACTAAATATTTGTGAAAGTATTTGAGTTACAAATACAAATACTGCTTCCATAAAAGTATATAATTACAAAGTATTTGAATACTTTAAAGGATTTGAATACTAAAAAGTATTTACAAAATCGAATACTGCCCAGCTCTGACTACACTGCTACAAGCTAACTACTAACGAACTACCTATTATTATGCCTTTATAGGAGTACAATTTTCAGGTACAGATAAGCTTTACGATGAAATAAATTCGCGAACTGCGTAAGGACACATACATGGTGTGGATTTGTAGCATGCAAGCTCAAGGCGTCTGATGAGCGAGGCTGAAGTAGATTAGAAGTTTTGTACGGGAGGAAATTTAGAAGTTCAAAGAAAATTATAATTTATGAGTTGCACATTTCAGGGTATATTTTAAGGATAGGATTTTGAATCATTTGTCAAGAATTTTAAATAGCAGTATTTAAGCAGTAGGTGGAGCAAATCAAGAAAAAAGATTTTGGGGATGAAAGAATGGTGGGATCCTTTTGAAAAAACAAAGAGAAAATTAGTAAGATGCATTTAATAAACGGATATTTATAGCAAAAACCATTCATGTGGGACACTGTGACTACAGGAGAATGTGTATTGCAAAGTAGACAGATACTACCTTCAGAATTCCTGGGCAAAAGTAAGCAGCTGGCAGGAAGAAAGGTGTCTTAGGAAGTCCTGGACAAGTAGATAGATTCCTGACGTCCAGAAATTGCACCATAATTTTCTTGGCACCACGAATCTCTGGTTTTTAGAACCCTTTAAGATCTTTGCAATTTTAAACGCGACATTTCGTTTATTAGAGTTGTGTGCGGTAAATTCGCCCCCGAAGTATGCGCCCCCAAGAAGATATGCTCCTGAAGGATTTGGCGCAGAAAAATTCGCCCGAAATATTGGCTCCCGGAAAATTCGTGCACGGAACGTTTTGCCCCGGAAATTTGCTGTCGCTATCACTATCAAATATATTGTTAAACGTCAAATGGACATAGTGTAACGTGATTTATAAATTCGGGTTCGATTTATATCAATATTTATTAAACAAAACTAAAACACTATAAAAACTGTACAATTTATATCCACTATTTATATCACACACTTCGCAATTTATATTTTCGCGCTCGATGTTTCATACGTACTCGATCTCGTTCGGTAGTAAAACTGCTTGTGATGTTCGGTCCGCAACCATTTATACACGCAAGCAATGTAAGTCAAGAACACTCGCGTAATTACCGGATAAGTCTGGAATATTCCTATACAAATCCCACTATCGCGCGCGTAGAAAATTCCAGAGCGCCAAAGGCGACGTCATGTCTGGAGCGTTTCCGTTACACTGTCCCCTTCTTAATTCTGGACGTCTCGTTCAGAAACTGCGTTAGTATTACTTTTTAATGCCTCGTGTCGGAATCTGCAGTCAGAGCCTGCTCGACAAACACCTTTCTTGAAAAAGTAACAGTCCACAGTTTTGCGGAGGGTCGTCCCCTGTGGGTTGAAGCAGCATACTGTAATTCGAACGCTAGTGTTTCTAAAAATCACTTCGATCATGGTTCACACTATTTTTCAGTCCAACCCATCTAAACCACATCCAATCTTCGGGATCGCCAAGCTATTTATGTCATAGTATGCCATGAGTTTCTTTAAGCTTTTTAAAGCAGACCAGAGGTTTTCATAGGTGGGTTTGCCTTCTGACGTTTTCTTTGAAACCAAGTAGAACAAAGAGCGTTGACTATCTTCCAAGCACAGTACTTTACCCACTCGTGGTCTTTGCTTTATCAACTCGTCTATTCTTCCAAATCTTTTCCGGAATACGGAAGCTATACCTCTACCCATGCGAAGGTCTTCGGCGACACAATGGGCGATGGAAACGTTAACCGGAAGCTCAAAAATATTTTGACAAATTTCCTGAGTAACGCCAAATCGAGCATTCTTCCGCTGGGCGTAATTTGACATGAAATCGTTAAAGTTTGGCTCGATCCCAAAGCTGCGTTCTTCTTCTCGAATACCTCTAACTTCTTCGTTGTTGTTGGATCCGGCATATCGCATTTCGAGTCGCGCTACTATTTGTTGGAAGTTCTGTTGATCCTCGGGGATGGTCCGCAACACATCCAGAGCATCTCCTCTCAGAGCAAGAATAAGGGCTGTAGTTTTGTCTTGAAGAGTCCATTTATTTGCCGCAGCCGCTGCTTCAAACTGTCGAACGTACGTGGTCCAAGGAATCTTACCATCAAAAGTAGGTGGCTTTACTCGGGCTTGCTGAACGTCGCCTTCTACTCTTGTATTTGTTCCTGGGTCGACCTTCTTGTAATGAGTAGGCTGTGGCACCTCAAGAAGACGGTCCATCAGTAATTCATCTGGGGCACTACTAGTACGCTCTTCCGTAGTCAGTCGCAAGAATTGCTCGCGCAGCTCTTCATACTTGTGCTCAATCGCAACGAATGTTGCTTTAAATGTTTTGGAAACTTCCGTAATTCTATCTTCAACTTTTTCTTCAATTGATTTAGAGACTTCTTCGATAATCTTTCTAGAATTTTCCTCCATCTTCTCGAACTTCTCTTGAATATTTCTAGGATTTTCTTCCATTTTCTCGAACTTCTCTTCAAAATTTCTAGAATTTTCTTCCAACTTCTCTTGGTTGCTTTTCATTTCTTGTTGCAACACCTGTTGGCCATTTTGGATTTGCTGGAGCAACTCGAGCATCGTTTCTTCCATTTTAGCGGCAGCAGATCTTGTTACAGGCATACACAAGCACAAGCACTTAATTTAATCTTACTTTTAATTAATTTAATTAATCCCACTTCTGATACCAATGTAACGTGATTTATAAATTCGGGTTCGATTTATATCAATATTTATTAAACAAAACTAAAACACTATAAAAACCGTACAATTTATATCGACTATTTATATCACACACTTCGCAATTTATATTTCCGCGCTCGATGTTTCATACGTACTCGATCTCGTTCGGTAGTAAAACTGCTTGCGATGTTCGGTCCGCAACCATTTATACACGCAAGCAATGTAAGTCCAGAACACTCGCGTAATTACCGGATAGTCTCGAATGTTCTTATACAAATTCCACGATCGCGCGCGTAGAAAATTCCAGAGCGCCAAAGGCGACGTCATGTCTGGAGCGTTTCCGTTACAATAGTTTAGGTTCGAATAATGCCGAACATGAGAAAGGGGCACCCTGTATGTGTGAATGTTCTGACTTAATTTAAATCTGCAGGATTTTATTAGAAATAATCACGGAATTGATTTATTTCATCTGAATTTGTAACGTTAGTGTTCAGCTTTGTTCTTAATTACTTAATTTGTTGGTTCAATTTTATAATTCCTGTAGGTTTGTTTAAATAAATTGTAAGAATTTATCTGGTCGTTTTGAGATAAAGAGGGGGGGGGGGAGGAGAGCTTACAAAACCCTTCAAAGATCGATATTTTAACAAATTTGGCAACTGAAAGGATGAAGTACACCCAGAGTAAAGTTTTTTTAATAACTCATTAAAGGAGGATCGCATTTTTTACTTAAGAGTCAGATCAGAATTTGATACCGACATTTGAACATTTGGCAAGGTTGGGGGGGGGGGGGCTTAAAGTCTCGGGTAAATTCAGAGTGGGGATTGTAACTATTAAAAATGAATCAAACGTTATATTAAAATGATGACAATCTCATAGATTCACGAACCAATTAAATTTTTTACTAAAATGATCAAAATTTGACAACTGAGGGAGAGGGTGCTCCAAAAAATCCTCAGTAGATTCAAAGTGGGGTTTTTCAAAACATTGAAGATGAATTAGGGAAATATCGGCGTAAGAGGGGACATCCTAAACACTCCTTATTGGCGTTACATCCGAAACTGACAGGGATGTGATTATGGCGATTTAGTGGAAGTGGTATTTGGATAAATAGGAAAAATAAAGAAGAGAGCGGAATGATGTTGAGCTGAAAGCGGCAGTATCCCCGTATCGCTGTACAAGCAACGACGGGTTAAAGAGCGTGTACGTGCTGTACACTAATGTTATTAAGTGATTGGTTTTTTTGTTTCTTTGAGGTTTCGTCATGTTTTGAGGGGTGGTGCACACCATTGCACACAATATTCCGGGGCGAATTTTTCGGGGTGAATTCTTTAAGGGCGATTTTTTAGGATTTCGATCTCCCTGAATAAAATTGCAATTTCGTATAGAAAGTTTAAACTTCGGAAAGTTGAAAGCGCTCGATTGTGCCTGAAAGGGTCTGTCAAGATGAGCACCGCTACTCCACAAGATTTTAATTGTGACTAGATTGGTAGAAAGAAGTGCAGGGTGTCAAAATTATGGAAAACAGTATTAAATTATGTTTCAACGAATGACAGAACGTCAACGTAAATAGTCTAAATCTCTTGGCAAATGACTTATTTCCCTTTTTAACTAGAACACCGACCACTTCAATTGTACGTATCACCCTTACCTCGTTAAAAAAGTCCTCTCGAACAAATGATGTCGGTCGGATACTCCCTGATTGCCTCTTCGCAACGGTTGCAGCTGATGTTTCCGTTGTCCCCACGTCTTGAACAATAGATGGACTTACGAAACTCCCTCTCTTAATTACGTTAGATTTCGTAACCGATTGGCTATCTTTGGTATTCTTAATATTAAGATATGTAAAAGGGGACATCGTCGTGCGGCTCTCAGCGTTAGTTAATAATTCAGCTTCATCTCCCAGGACGAAATTAGTTTGCAAGTTTTCTCCTGGCTCAGGCGCGTAGGAAAACGAAGCACTTGTGGTATTATTTATGTCAGTTACAAAGTTTTCCGAATTCTCAACCTTTATTAAATTAGAATGGTCCGTTAGTATCATCACTTCGTTAACTGCGACGGTTTTTTGGTTGACTGACTTGCTGGAGGAAACGTTCGCGAACCTTCTGCTTTTTAAGGGCTTAGTTAAATTATGTCCATTAGTCTCGCTGGAAGTTAACCGCTCACCGTTTTTAAATGACCTCGAGCTTTCTGTAGGCGCATTTGGGGTCGGTAACGAACTTTCCCTATTAAAACTGTAATTAATATACATGTCAGCGTTTGGCGTGCTATTGAAAGTTGTTTTGTAGTTTCGCGTATTGTTGGGCCAAGCGGTCGTAACTTTGTCGTTACCTTTAAAATTGGGAGTAGTGAAATTGAAATTTGTTGCGTGTAAGGTACTAGAAATTGTTCCCTCATTAGTATAACTCGTATTCACAGCCTGAGTAATTTCTTGTCGAAAGTAATTAGCATATTTTTGCTTGATAGAACTTTCGGTCGCACTGTATCGATTTGAGTTTAGGGCTAGAGCTATGTGCGTCGCCAGAAAAAGCAGAACTGGCGCCATGGCAAATACGGCTTGTTATAACGGGAAAATTCGACCCCGTTTATATCTTTACTTAATGTCCTTGCGACTCTTGAATTATGGCCGTTCTTCTTCTAAGCTCCATTGCCTGAAAAGAAATAAACGCATTATAATCAAAATACACCTACCAAAGGAAAACAGAATTGATCATCATTTACTACAATGCCGTTACGGAAATTATCCTCCTTTCGAGAAATTACGAGGTAATTTTGATAATAAACTTACGGGAATCAGTTGTCAAGGCAAGTTAATTTAATTTCATTTAGTGTTAGTCAAGTCGTTTGGAAAGCTTGGGAGTAGATTTCGTGTGTTGCAGGATAAATTCTATTTACAAGAATTATTGATTGCAAAAAAGCTTTTACTTAAACAAGACTTTCGTACTTTAAATAAAAGACCACGTACTTGCCAACATAATAGATTGCAGAAATCAATTCCAACCTTTCTCTTTAATGGTATGGTGTTGTACAACCTAACTTTCTCTGCTGTTTTTTAAAGCCGTGAGGAAAGTTTCTGTCGGTTTTTGTTTTTTCGGTACCGACAAGGGGTTTGTTAAAAGTTTTCAGGAACACGCTTTTATAGAAACTTCTTACTTCCTTGTTACGAAGAACGTCATCGTGAATGTGTACCAACAACAGATAATTAACCATCAATTAGAAAGTGAAATAGATCTAAAAATCTTTTTTCCAATTTGTGCCGTTCGAAGGGAACAACAAGTTTGTTACCCGCAAAACAATAAAAGGTAAATATTCCTTTTTACGATGAAGCTTTGAACTTCTGAAAAACATTACAGCAAAGTTCAAATGGCTTTAATGTATCACGACTGCCCCAATTTCTGCCGATTACTTCTATTTATCTTTACAAAAAGCACACGCACAAAAATGGCACTCCCAGCCCATTTCAAGATGTACAAAGAGTCATAGTACTCATTTAAATCTGCAGCCTTGCTTTTTATTTCATGTTTTCGATGAATTTCATTGCGATCATATCGCAACTCAATCACGCACTCCCTTAAAAAATAGTCTTATTTGTGCCCCATGATTCGTTGAAGAGGTTATAAATTTCAATTACGCCGAAAAACAATTTAAAAAACCAACCCCATTATAGAGCTACTATTACAGTACCCCCTTCCTATTTTTAAAAAGTAACAACCAGAAAACAAAAACCTAGACCGTTATCTGGTACCACTCCTTCAGAAAAACCTAGAAGGCTCTCGGTTTCTCCGAATAACCTTAAAGGCGCTCGTAAAATTTTGATAAGCGTTTAGGTTTTTCAGAAATTCATCTCGAAATTTCCCGGAATCTACAAGGAGTAATAAAGATCTAGGGAAAACTTTGACTGGGTTTCAAAAACCTATGGAAAGATGCTGGAAACTGCTGCATTTCGGAACTATGTGGTACCGCTCCTTCAGAAAAACCTAGAAGGCTCTCGTAAAAATTTGATAAGCGTTTAGGTTTTCCAGAAATTCATTTTGAAATTTCTCAGAATCTACATGGAGTCTTAAAGATCCAGAGAAAACTTGAACTGGATTTCAAAATCCTATGGAAAGGTGCTGTAAACTGCTGCATTTTGGAACTATGTGGTACCAGTCCTTCAGAAAAACCTAGAGGGCTCTCGGTTTTCCCGAAAAACCTTAAAGGCTCTCGTGAAATTTTGATAAGCGTTTAGGGTTTCCCGAAACTCATTTTGAAATTTCCCAGAATCTACAAGGAGTCTTAAAAATCTAGGGAAAACTTTGAATGGGTTTCAAAAACCTTTGGAAAGGTGCTGTAAACTGCTGCAGTTTGGAACTATGTGGTACCAGTCCTTCAGAAAAACCTAGAGGGCTCTCGGTTTTCCCGAAAAACCTTAAAGGCTCTCGTGAAATTTTGATAAGCGTTTAGGATTTCTCGAAACTCATTTTGAAATTTCCCAGAATCTACAGGAGTCCTAAAGATCTAGGGAAAACTTTGACTGGATTTCAAAAACCTATGGAAAGGTGCTGTAAACTGCTGCATTTTGGAACTATGTGGTACCAGTCCTTCAGAAAAACATAGAAAGCTCTCGGTTTTCCCTAAAAACCTTAAAGGCTCTCGTGAAATTTTGATAAGCGTTTAGGGTTTCACGAAACTCATTCTGAAATTTTCCAGAATCTACAGGAGTCTTAAAGATCTAGGGAAAACTTGGAATGGGTTTCAAAAACCTATGGAAAGGTGCTGTAAACTGCTGCATTTTGGAACTATGTGGTACCAGTCCTTCAGAAAAACATAGAAAGCTCTCGGTTTTCCCTAAAAACCTTAAAGGCTCTCGTGAAATTTTGATAAGCGTTTAGGGTTTCACGAAACTCATTCTGAAATTTCCCAGAATCTACAAGGAGTCTTAAAAATCTAGGGAAAACTTTGACTGGGTTTTAAACCCTATGGAAAGGTGCTGTAAACTTCTGCATTTTGGAACTATGTGGTACCACTCCTTCAGAAAAATCTAGAAGGCTCTCGGTTTCCCCGAAAAAACCTGAAAGGCGCTCGTGAAATTTTGATAAGCGTTTAGGGTTTCTCGAAGCTCATTCTAAAATTTCCCAGGATCTACAAGGAGTCTTAAAAATCTAGGGAAAACTTTGACTGGATTTCAAAAACCTACGGAAAGGTGCTGTAAACTGCTGCATTTTGGAACTATGTGGTACCACTCCTTCAGAAAAACCTAGAAGGCTCTCGGTTTCCCCGAAAAACTTTAAAGTGCTCGTAAATTTTTGATAAGCGTTTAGGGTTTCCAGAAATTAAATAAAATCAACCCCATTATAGAGCTGCTAATACAATCTTATCTACGTTCACTTTTTACAGAAATTGTTCCACTTAGATATAAGAATGTAATTACAAACCTCCTCTAGCAATATAGGTAAAGAGCAAAAAACGTTTTTAATTTCTGTGTGAACTATTAATTTTTTTTGTATACCGCATTAGGCGTTATCTGACAGCCAGTTAATATTAAGATGGCGACGCCCTGGCAAAAAAAAACAGCTTTGAGAAAAGTGCGTTTCCATCCACGGACAATACGAATTTGAATTCCAGTGGATTACGCCATAAGTTTCAATAATTTTGCTTGCAACTAATTCCAACCCCTAGCTTTGTATCTTTGCATTAAATCGCGAAGGGACGAAAAACGCACTTTCCAAAAATCTTGATCTTTGTTACACTTCAATGCAAGCCTCAAAGAATTTGATTTATTTTACACATAAATAACATTTTTGTGTTTGTGTATTTCTTTTTCATATTATCGAAGCTCAACGAACTGGCAACGTTCCGCGATATTGTTAAGCGAAAAAATTGCCTAACAAATTGCAGGAGGCGAGTGATGTGGAAAGTTGAAAAAATGTTAAATTTTTTTGTAACTAAACATGTGCACCGCTCGTCACGAATTTAATTGGAAATCTTTCCTTGAGTAGAAGTTACAATTAAAAATTGTTAACAGATTAAAACTAAGCCTTGTATTCGGTTCCCTGGGCACTTACGTTAAGAACGCGCCCACGCGGATTGGAGAGTGGAAAGATTGTCCATTAGATGTACACAGTAACCGAAATTACACAGATGTATTTTTCTCCAACTTTCAAGGAGTGCCTTTAGTACCGTTTAATGCAAGGATGTCTCCTGTTGCACGAAATCTACTTATTGTAAGTAGAACAAAAGACCTACTCGAACGTACTTAACAAGTAACGCCCTACTTGATCATAATCCATCAAAAACTGCCAAACGTTATTTCACCTAAAGCTTCATTAATTCAATTCGCCAAACTTTGAGTTTGTAAAATGAGTTTCGTAGAGTTTCCAGTAATGAGCGCCGGAAAATCGATTCATGTACCTTAGAGCTGTGAATTTTCTCTTACCGCAATATCGAGTAAATTTGTATGAATGCAGAATTTCGTTCAAACATAGCGTTAAATTGCTTACTCCAACGTATAACGACAATTATTAATCTCAGCGATTTTTTTAAATTTCTATGGCGCATTGTTTTCTCAACAGGCTTCGGAAGCCTTACTCTCCGGTGAGTGGTAGATAACAGAATGATTCTATCTCAGTTTTGTTGTTTTGTTCTAGTTCTAAAAATAGCTGATAAGAAAATTACACAGCTCTGAGATCACCAGTTCGCAATATAAAAAAGCAATTAAGCATAATTCCCGTAGAAAAATGGTTGTCTTAATTATTGAATGTCATACTGAAAAAGGCGTTAATTATTTAATAAAGGATAGTGCATTCGAATCTAATTAAGGAACACAGTATAAAACAACTTAAGACCTTCTGCAGCTAAAACAAATTATGTTACCAGAGCTAGCCGTTGGTCAGTTAATTATTTTGCTAAAGTATTTTTGAGTTCACTTAGAAAGTTGAAATTTTATTTCTAAAAAGGGAATCCTTCTTTATACGACTCTGTTGCAAGATAGTCGTCGAAGGGAAGCCACAGTCATCGAACTTATTGAGCCTTGTGCACCCTGCAATTGTCGCGTATCAGAGAAATTCTGAACGGAGATATAAGGTTTTAATAGTCTTTTTCTAAACATCTTCGTTAATTATAGTGTCCTTTTTCATGTACATAATCAATAAAATCCCCTCAAAATCCCATGAATTTTCCTGCTGAGCACAGTGCCTTCGCTTTCTTTTATCCTTTATCCTGTATCAACCTATAATGCATCAATTAATGTTTCGCGAGGGGGGGTCCCATTGATTATATCCACATTTTCCCGTACTTTGAACGTTGACAGACTGCTTCTGACACAAGTTTATAATTCCTATCTTATAATTATTTAAAAAATGACATGAAGTTATTTGCGTTAAGAGAAAACGTACTCCATTTCCAACAGCGAAAAAATCACGAAAAAAGCATTTTAAAGGTAAAAATTTATACCTTAGCGGAAGCAAAATTTCCCTCCCCTATATTCAATTAATTTCAGCTGAAGCGAATCAATTTACATTGATTAAAGGTAGATTAAAAGAGACTTTTTTCAGTGTTCCGTTATTCCTACCTTAATTTTTATCTGTACAAGTAATTAATCAAACGATTAGCTAAAACCTAAAACAATCTTCAGGCTCCGTAACAGTCGGGATCGAATGATCTGTGTATTTGT